AGGGAGGGAGGGATGCTGTTGGGATAGAGGAAAAAGAGAGAGGGAAGAGGAGACAGATGGAAATGAAAGAGAAAGAGACCAAACGAGTTTAAATGCATTAAAGTTTCAAAGTGACAGAAAAGCAGCCAAGGTTATAGTAAAATAAAACTGTAGGAAACAAAATTATGCAAAGAAGGAAAATGCTGAAACTTTCTTCACTGTTCACAAAAACCCAGTAATCATACCATAAAATGTTAGCAAAATTGATAGAGCATAACTCCAACAAGAGAAAAAAAAACAGAGACGGAAATTCCAGGCGCTGAAGAAGTGGCCCAAGTGGTAGAGAGCTTTCCTGGCAAGCACAATGCCCTGGGTTCAATCCCAAGCAAACCAGAGAACAGGCATGGTGATGCCCACCTGTAATCCTCGTGCTCATGGGGTGGAGGAAACCGGATCAGAAAGATGGTCAAGGTCACCTTCAGCTCCACAGCAGCTCTGAGTCAGGCCTGGGACATAAGACCTTGCCTCTACATGAGGGTGGGGCTAGATTCCACGTTAATAAATATCGGGAGACAGAAAAAAGATGTATAAATCTAAACAAATAATTTCAAAATCAGGAATACGTTTTTTTTCCATAGATGCATGTTAATGCTACAATCAACTGCATCTAACAAATACAGCAAAATAGGGATTTCAAATTTTAAGGCTTGGATGAAACAAAAATGCATATTAAATAGCGATTTTCTTTTGCACGGACTGTTTTTCAGAAACTGGCTCTACAAAATTACAAAGCCTGCCTAAAACTTACATGGCGCATCAGTTGTCGTGAGCTTCTCTCAGGTCTGGCGTGAACGGTCACCTGGGAGGCAGCAAGATGAGGATGGCTATCAATCACTGGTCTATGCCTATGTCCCCACCTAGGCACCCCAGAGAAAGCTTACTTACTGTGTCTTCATAAAAACTGTTCAGACAGAGCATGGGAGTATCAGCAGTGAGAAGGTGGAGTAGGAGGGAGGGGAAGGGAACAGAGATCAACAGAATGGCTGTGTCCAAAGGCAGGATAGGCCCTCTGCAAGACACTTTCTACACACTAGAGAGCTAAACACAGACATGGGCCCCACTCAGGAATCCTGCAAAATCTGTCTGACCATGTTCTCTTATCAGGAGGGAACCTGGGGGTCCAAGAACACTTAACTTCCTTCTTTGACACAGCGAGGCAGTGGGACAGGGCCCAAGTCAGAGTGGCTCTGTGGGTGCCCCTCTGTGGGTGCCCCTCTGTGGGGTCCCTGGGCTCAAGGAGGACTCTGGATTTAAGACCCTAGACAGCAAAAGAAACGCTTTATTCCTGAACCCAGAGTCAGAGCAAAAACACCCCAAGTCCCTAACCAGAGCCAAAAGAACACACTTTGCCCCTAGAATTAGAGCCTGTTAAAGAAATTTACCTTGACCCTAAAATTGGAACCAAAAGCTAAAAAGAAAGAAATCAGAACTATCTCTGCCCCTGACTCGAAACCAGTCAATCCCTGAGCAGGAAAAACGGACCAATCCCTGAGTAGGGAAGTAGTAAGCTCTAGTCTAGAGGCAAGACTCCCCATAGACTAAAGTCTAAGGAAGTAGTGACCCCAACCTCAGAGCCCTACCATGGTCTTTTCCAGCACTCAGGTGAATGATCTAGAAACATTGCCGTGAGTTTGAGGTCAGCCAGGGCTCCATATTGGTTGGAGACCAGCATGGGATATAGTGTGTTTGAACAAACAATATGACCAAAGCGATGGCTCAGCCACTAAGACACTTGCTGCTATTGAAGACAACCAGAGTTTGGCTCCACCCACCTAGAATGGCTCACAGACACGTGTAATAGGAGCTCCAGAGGAGCTGACCACCTCTTCTTGCCTTTTGGGGTTCAAATAAGCATTCATGCACACCCACGCAGACACACACAATACAGATTTTTTTAACAAAAATTAGAAACAATATTTTAATCTGAGAAAGGAAAAACAGCATAACAAAATTAAAAGGAATTTTAATTGTTGTCCCTGAGTGTGTTCCCACCGATGCAAACTCTGACCTGTGGGTTGAACTCATGAGGTGTGAACACACATGACTACATCCAGTCATGAACAGCTGAAAAAGCAAGGAAATAACATGTTCCTCAAAGACCAAGAATTTTATCAAGTAAGATTTCAGGAGGATGAAATAAACATTTGGGAAGATTCCTATAAAGTAGAGGGATAATTGAGACTTAAAGAAGGGACGGAGAGGAACGTGGGTCCTTTTGACCCCGAGAACAGCATTACACACAGCAGCAGACCAGAAGGCAAGCTGTGGTTGTCTGAGCCACCTGCTAGGAAAATATGCTGATTCATGTGGGTGTAAGAGGGATTGCACTGGAAGAGGCTTGCAGGGTTCATAATCCAGGGTTCCGTGACAGTTCGTCCTGGAATTCTTGTTTTCATTGATTGAGCCTGTCCAATCTGGAAATTCAGATAGTGTGAACCCACTTGACCAGAGTCCTTGGCACAAGTCAAGGCCCGAGCTACCTCAGACAGGACAGAGGGTTCAGGACAGACTTTGATCTCTGGGAACTGAAGGTCCACTTGGGAAGAACAGACACCGTCTTGAGGTGGGTGGGCCCTCATAACAGTGTTCACTTGATACAGTTGGGGTTTGGAAGGACAGTGGCACCAGCATGGGGAGTCACATGGATTGAAGAACCTACATAAGATCAAAAGGGAAACAAATCTGAGTTCATAGGAACTGCAGGGTCCTGGTCCTGATCCAGCCTGGTTCACCCCAGTCAGAGCCCTGGGGATTCAGAAATGTTTCAAGGAAAGAAGATGGACAGTCACTGAGGAGGACCCCAACAATGACCACCGTGGCCCTTGTGCACACACACACTCACACACACACTCACTCACACACACATACATACACAGTGAAGTGAGTGATTTGGCTAGTATTTTGTCATTTGAGAAATGGACTCTCAAATCAGAAAATTCCTTCAGAAGATTTGCTTTACTGTTTTGTTGGTGGTGGTGGTGGTGGTGGTGATGGTGGTATTTTGGTTGATTAGTCGGTTGGTTTTGTTTTAGACAGGGTCTCTCATAGCAATGGCTGTCCTGAGACGGAGAGTGAGTACTTTGTATACCAGGCTGACTTCAAACTCACAGAGGTCTGTTTGGCTCTGCCTCTGGAGCACCAGGATTAGAGACTTGCACCTCCCTGGACAACGCTTTATTGTTGCTTCTCCATTCTAACTGCAGAGGGAAGAGCTACGCCAGAGAGACCACAGCCTGCAAAGCCTCAATACTGGCCCCACCTGGAGAGCCTTTGCCAGCCGCTATGCCAGCCCCGTGGAGACCATAGTGCAGTGCGGTCACTTTATCCTCCCCACTGCCCTTATCACAGCCACTCCTGGCCTCATTCCATCCTCTGCCACCTTTCTTCTTTGTCTCTTAGTTACAATTTAACAAATGCTGGCTACCAAATTCACGAACATTTCACTTCTATCAACTTTTATCTTCCGACCTTTATCTTTTGATTCCTCATTTCTTCCTGCAATCCTGTGCTTGCTGGTTTCTTAACTGCAGCAGGAGGCAGCAGGCACTGTGTATGAAGACACCATCCATCAGGGCTCTCATCCAGAGGTGCTGTCTGGTACAGGGAGGCCATGGGCACTGCCTGACAAAGGCCAGGATCTATGACGCAGCCACTGGCATAGGAACCTGCTCAGTAAGTGCTCCTGCAACTTGGACAACTTCCGGCTACCTCCAACTTTTGGAATTTTTTAAGTGCATGGTCCTAGCAGATGAGAAAGAGAGGTTCCAATATTCGGGGTGGGGTGGGGATACAGACAGAGAGAGACAGAGAGAGAAAGAACCCTTTAAAGAAATAGGTTGGTGGGGAAACAAATGGCAGCTGGGTGATACTTTTCTCAAAGTTGTCTCCACCTGTGAGCATTGGCGAATTCAAGTCGGTCTTAGGAGCTTCTAAGTACCGTTGTAAAGAGACAAAAATTCCGCAGCATTATGACTATTTCTGGCTATTAAAATAGTGGTGGTATTTGTCAGAGCCCAATTAGTGGATTTTATTACTGTCCAAACTATGAACCTCTGGAGTCTCGGTGTAACAGCAGAATGGCAAGAGAAAAAAAACCTGAAACGTCTTTAATCCTTTCAGTAAAAAGTTACTTTGAAACCTGCTTGCTGAGGTATCCTCTATTTGGAATGTGGTTGCAAGGCAAATTATTTTTATGCCTGGAAATTGGAAATACAATCTAAAGGATCCGAAAGTGTAAAACCAAAGCCTTGGCAGCAGGCAAGAGGCATGGCACAGTTTTGTCTATGGTGAGAAACTTAAATATTTCAAATGCCAGGGGGCTAAGGAAGAAATTGTTTATATTACTTAACATGTTTACAAATATAGCTTTGAATGTATAGTGAATTCGATCAATATAAGATGAACAACCACTCATTTATATTCTTTTTTAATTAATTAATTAATTTATTTATTTATTAAAGATTTCTGTCTCTTCCCGCCACCGCCTCCCATTTCCCTCCCCCTCCCCCAATCAAGTCCCCCTCCCTCGTCAGCCCAAAGAGCAATCAGGGTTCCCTGCCCTGTGGGAAGTCCAAGGACCACCCACCTCCATCCAGGTCTAGTAAGGTGAGCATCCAAACTGCCTAGGCTCCCACAAAACCAATAGGTGCAGTAGGATCAAAAACCCATTGCCATTGTTCTTGAGGTCTCAGTAGTCCTCATTGTCCGCTATGTTCAGCGAGACCGGTTTTAACCCAGGCTTTTTCAGACCCAGGCCAGCTGGCCTTGGTGAGTTCCCGATAGAACATCCCCATTGTCTCAGTGTGTGGGTGCACCCCTCGCGGTCCTGAGTTCCTTGCTCGTGCTCTCTCTCCTTCTGCTCCTGATTTGGACCTTGAGATTTCAGTCTGGTGCTCCAATGTGGGTCTCTGTGTCTGTCTCCTTTCCTCGCCTGATGAAGGTTAATATTCAGGAGGATGCCTATATGTTTTTCTTTGGGTTCTCCTTATTTAGCTTCTCTAGGATCACTAATTATAGGCTCAATGTCCTTTATTTATGGCTAGAAACCAAATATGAGTGAGTATATCCCATGTTCCTCTTTTTGGGTCTGGCTTACCTCACTCCTCATTTATATTCTTATATATAAAAGATATATATATCTTTTAGTAGTATATAATTTAAGAAAAAGCTATCAGTTACAGTCTATAGATTAAACTAGTAGCGGGATGACCACTCATCAACCTGCATTCCTAATCATCCTCAACAGTTCACAATTAAAGTAAATTAATTCTTAGCAGTTTATAATATAAGCTAGTTGTCTTTATGAATTTAGACTTTTGTTTGTCCCTGATAGATTTAGCTAAAAAAAAATAATAATTCTGAACGTGTGTACGTCTGAGCTGCGAACAAAAAACATGGAACCCTCTCAAATTCAGGCATTCAAAACCCATCAGAAGACTAGGCGAGCACTGTGACCACATTTTCATCCATACCTACAGAGCAGACAGACATTTTAAGAAGAAGAAAAATAGACTTTCAAATGAAACAGCCCGTTGTGGATGGGTAGAATTTCAGGGAAGTATAGAGCAGAGAGCTTTGGCGGGGCTGCTAGGATCAGAGCAAGCTGGGACAGCCAGGGAAAGAAACCAAGAGCAAAGAGAGAGAGGGATGGGGCGGAGAGGCAGGCGCGGGAGAAAAACCGCAGAGACACAAAGAGACCAGAAAGGAACTTTCTGACGTGTTCATGACTTTTTATAAACAGAAAACTCCGTTAGCTACGTTTACTCAGAAAGAGAGCGAGAAAGAGACGTTTTTAGAGTAATAAGGGAGAGGGCAGTTGGAGAAACAAGTCTGGAATGGTGGAAATGAGGGTTGTGAATTATTTTTTGCATTTGTAATTTAGCGAGAGGAACTCTCCAGTGCAACCAAGCTCTGGTATGGAAAGAAAAAAAAAAAAAAAAACAGCTGTTCCGGCTCTGAGCTCCACGGCAGTTTGGAAGTTAACTCTTTCGTGTCTAGTGAATCATTACATTGAAAACTGTTTGCGGAGAGCGATCAGAGCCTCCAGGGGCTGTGAGAGCATAGCAAATTCCATTAATTTTTATTTAGGTCCTCCGAGGGTTGTATAGAGTTATTTACAAGCAGGCATAGCAGATGAAGCCAACTAAGATTACAGTATCATGCTGCCCTTTTTCACAGAACCTGAATGAAATAGCAGTGGGATTTTCCCGTGAAAGGAGCCAGTAAAATCTGCCTGTTAGTCTGTCCGTGATTCTGACCTACAACGTCAGTGAAACTCAGAGGTCCTCTTTGTTACCCTTTACGTTTCTCAGGGGTCCATTTGGGATTCATGATTAAGTGCTGAAGAGGAAGGCGGTCGGGGGTATGATACACTATTACCTCCTCGGCCAAGCCGTCTTCCTCCTCCGGGGCTCATTTCTCCATGCATGATTTATGAGAATCCTCTTCCGAGCTGTTTATGGACGGAAAGAGCTAGGCCTTTACGTCCACGGCTTTGCCAAATGGGGCTTCAACAGGGAGTTTACGTCTGGTGGGTCGACTTGCTAAGCACTAGTCACTGCTATACATTCCTGCAGCCTCTCGCAATCAGCGGCACTGGGCACGGAGGAGTGAGTATCCTGCTGCTTCTACCGAGTGAGTTTCGTACAGGTTCAACAGTGGGAATGCACTCCAGAGTAAGCACTGCCAATCAACAGCCTAAGTTTCTCCAGCAGAGGTAGCTTCTCCTCTCCTTCCCACCCCGCCCTCCTCCTCCTCCCCCTTCCTCCCTTTCCCCTTCCGTAACCCACTAAATAAATATCCAACCTCACTATGCATGGCGTGTCTATTGGTCTCCGTCTCTCACCGGCTGCAGGTCCTCGTAGGATCTGCTGACCCACCAAGGTCTCAACCACTGCCTGGCTCCCTGCCTGGGACCCGCTACTCCTCATAGCTGCCCGCTGCCCACTGCCGCCCCTCGGGGAACAGCACCATTTTATTTTTACCATTACACTAAGGGAGAAAAATCCCTCTAAACTTAACTTTCTCTTCTGATCTCCCAGAATTTTAACCAGGTCCAGGTGTCCCCTTAATCTGTATCCAGGACAGCTTCAAAGTGGCTAATCCCAAGCAGTTCAACCATGCAGACTGCTTCAGCTAGACCTGCTCTTTCCTGGCACTGGACAGTCCTACAAAGCCTAGACAACAGTGAAACAACCAGCTACCCCAGGACTTGGCAAGCGTAACAGCTTCCTCAGGTTCCCCCCCCCCCAAAATGCTGATGCCCCAAGGTCTCGAGAACACAATACTCTCATTCCTGACTTACTGGCTATCCCTTTCCATCTCCTCTCCTTTTATAATATATAATATAATACTCAACAATTTGCACTGGGCTGCTCTTGGGGACCTGGCAGAATGCATCATCAGCTACAACCATACCCTGGGCTCATGCCCTAGGTCCCCCTTATAAAGGACAAGTTCCTCCTGCCTCCTGCTCTCTCCTCCACTCTTACCCACAAAGGCCATGTCTGCACCCCCTCCCTTCTACCCAAAAAAACTCCCATATGAGTTCTGTTGTATGGTATGATTTTTCCCTCCACTGCCTTCAAACTACAATGAGGACCAAACTTCTATGAAGATAACTGATTCAAATTCCAAATTTTCCATTGATCAACCATGTGCCAAGACTGGCCATGCATTATCAAAGATGAACAATCGAAAGTTGGCATTGTGGTACACACCTGTAATTCCAGTATAAAAAGCAGAACTATGAGATTAAGGGCCATCTCAGCCACATAGTGAGTGAGAACTCAGTCAGTGTAGGGGACATGAGATCCTGGACCAAAACCCCAGACAGCCAGAAGCTGGAGACATGGGTCAAAGATTAAGAGTACACTGCTCATTAAGCGGTTCTGCCCCAGCGCCCACGTGCACATCTGTAAGTCCAGCTCCAGGAGTCTGATGGCCTCTTCCGGCATCTGCGGGCATCAGGTACCGATGTGGTGTCTATACACAAAACACTCATACACATAAAATAGAAAGAAATACATCTTTAAAAAGCAATTAAAAAAATGGAGAGGGAGAAAGGGAGCAATTCTTCTGTTCACCTTGGCTTGAGTTGAGGGAAAGACTCCTACATCAGTTTCAGGCAGTAGGGGATGGTCGTGGACAGGAAGGTTGAGAACACAAATGAGGGTTGTATGATCAGCTTAGAAAAGCTGATGAGTATGACAGAAAGAGAGACAACCCAAAAGTCAACACGATTGGTCCTGAGAGTCAGTCCCAGTCAGCAAAACAAGACACAGAACAGATGTCTTTCAGACTTTACTGGGGATGAGACAGGGCTCAGTTGCTCACTCTGAGGAGCAGGGCCAGCACACAGGCAGGTCTGATCTCTCAGGCCTTACTGGGGATTCTGGGGTCTGGTACATTTCTCCAAGCAGCAAGGAGGAAGGGCTGGATGCAGGGCAGGATAAAGGAAGAGGAGCAGGAGACCAATGAAGAAATGGGGAGTCCAAGGATCCAGAGGCTTGACTGAAGGAAGGGCTTGTAAGAAGTAATGGAGGAATTGGGAGTAGAAAGTAGACAGAAACAATATTTGGTGGGAACCCACAGCCATGGCCAAGAGCCAGAGCCAGCAGGGTGGTCATGAATATTCCCAGAGGTCTGGGTTTTGTAGTCCTATTTT